TAATAATAATAAGGTATCTAGTGGTCAAATGAACCTTTGCCTAAAAAACTTCAACATGGAAAATCTCACAGACATTCTCAGATGTGTAAACATTAGTGATACATTGCAAACAGATTAAGATGCTTCTCACTGTTTCTTTTCTCAGAAACACTTCATATTCTTAAATAGTCATTGTATGCAAAGATTATGAAGCTTATATTCTAATATATTTGAATTTAGAGATAATTTCAGTTACAAAGTTTATTTCTATATATAACAATGTACAGCAATACGAAACCCTATTCAGGAAATCATTCAAGCTGTGGTAGAAATGAGTTCTAATTAGCATTATCACCCACAGTAAAAGTGCACATCGTGGAGTGGCAAATGCACATGTCTTTTATTTTGTTTAGAATCATTTTTCTTCTGGTTAAAAGAATATTACAGAGGCTAGTCATATATGCACCTATATGTATGTATATGCATGCATATACCTAAAATGGACACATTTTATATAACCTTAAAAGTATTTCAAAGACTCTCAAATTATACACACTTGATTTACTATATCCTCAACTTCAGTGAAGCATTTTGCTGAACATTTGAAATTAACACAATTTCTGCCCTGCCAAATTTCCTAGAAGCAGTTAGAAAACTTCTGTTAGGGAGCTTCTGCAACTCTCCCATTCCTTAAGTGTATTAGTGGAGAGTTGTGGTGCCTGGTCAAATTATTTAAACATCTGCATGCTCATCCAATCTGTAATTCAGATAAAGATGAGAAAATATCCCTGACCACCTTATCATTCAGATTAGTAGGTTCAGATGTTTTGTGTGTGATAAGTAATAACTTAAAATAAGGGGAAAAAAAAAAAAAAAAATCTTCTGAGCCCTCTCATGAAATACTTAATTAGAATAATTTGAGGATGTGACACTCAAATGAGAATTGTGTTTCCCATGATATGATAGAGAGCAGAAAGCATGTCCTGATGCAAAATTAAAAGATTTTTTACTGTGTTATCCAACACTTGTGTATTCACTGCCCTACTTAAGGTCAATAAAGATACAGTGAACCACAGTAACTATTCTGACACTATTTATCATGATTATTTTATATTTAAGAAATATTTTTAAGATTCAGAAATGCTTTGAAGGAGCATGGGATTGAACTGCATTATATTCTACTCTTTATGCGCTGATAACAAGAGCTTTATTATTAGGATGAAAATGTGATATCAAGTCTATTTCATACCTGCAATACTGACTGCACTCCAGCTCGTACATTTTGCTCTTCAGTATCAATTTCAGACATTTTATGCAAAGGGTCTTCATAACAGCCATTTCTTGCCCAGTTTGAATTTCTACCATGACTGGAGTTCATCCCTTTCTCCTGAAAAATTTTTTTTTCTTAAAATCACATAGATTTGTAGAGAGGTATTTTGTTTTTACATAAAAGGGAAAAACAATATAAAGGATATTAAATAATAAACAATAGTAGACAGATGTCTGAGATGCATCTTAAAGACACAGCTATATTTGAAGAAGTCTATAGCAATTACTTTAAAGTATTCGGATGAAATAATTATTATTTTCCTCATCCTTTTATTTGTCTATAACTTATACATAACTGCAGGTTGGCATATTGTATAATCCACATCTTGAGAAGAGTTCTTAAAACTACAGGAAATTTTAAATTGAACTAACCACATTTTAAATCTACAGACAATGGATCAAAGTGGTACCCCATTCGTGCACTGTTTAATTACCACTGATTTTCCCCAACAGATGCTCTGACATCAAATTAAACCATATAAAGGAAATCTCGAGAGGGACTTTTTACAGGGCACACAGTGACAGAATAAGAGGGAATGGCTTTAGACTGAAAGAGGGGAGATTCAGATAATTACAAAAAAATTCTTCACTAGAGGGTGGTGAGGCACTGGAACAGGTTGCCCAGAGAAGCTGTGGATGCTCCAACCCTGGAAGTATTCAAGGCCAGGTTGGATGGGGCTTTGAGCAACCTGGGCTAGTGGAAGGTGTCCCCACCCATGGCAGGGGTACGAACAAGATGATCTTTAAGGACCTTTCCAGCCCAAATCATTCTATGATTCTACAATAATCTGTCGAGGAAACAACTTCTCTGTCTACCAGCATATGAGAAAGATGCACATATATTAACCAACAATAATTTACTTCTTCTCTTTCTTTTGCTTTCTCTGATGAATTGTGGTCAACAGCATTTTCATCACAATCTACAGTTGTGCACTGCATTATTTCTTCAGGTTCTTTCATAAATAAAGGCTTGTCTTCTTGCTGAATCCATTCCTGATACACCTTTACCACTTTCCTCATTGCAGCTGCTTCACATATTGGCAACAGAAATGCCTGCAAGTAGAAAAAGAAACAAATGAAAAACCAGCTGCAATAATTGAAATTAAGTTGGGCTTTATAATGTATAGTTTCTAAGGAAGGGGGGGGAGGTGTAGGGGGAGAGAGAATACAGCCACTGTAGGATCTTAACAAATAAATGACTCCTAAGCCTAAATGTTTGCTCACTTTTTTTAATCTGTAAACTGAAAACATAAAAGAAAATGTTTTAACAAGAAAAGTCAAGAAAGTACTTAAAAAAACTTCACTGCCAAAGAAAGAGATATGAGAACCCATATGGGCATATCTATTCCAACACCTAGACTGCTGAAATTAAGACCCAAACACTCATCAAAAGCATGCAAAATAAACGAGCTTAAGTTTCTATCGCAACCATCTTCCATTCAGAGGATTTGGAAGAGTAGAGTTAAATCAATTCTAAATTACTAAAAATATTCAAGTGATACACATTACTGGTAGCCACCTATTTTATTTTTAGCTATATGAGATTTTGCAAAACACTATCCTTAAAACAAATGCCTCCCTGAAAAGGCTTCAGAACTCTCGTTTCAAAAAAATCGTGCATTTGGGTCAGTGTGATGGCTGATCAGTGCCCTCTTCAGGACGTTTTCTGTATCTGCTATTCTGGTAACAACTAGTCACAGATCAAAAACTTCTAACTTAGTCAGGTTATAACTAACTATAAATACATTTACCAAAGACCATGATGCCCTAATTCTATTTAGAAAAGAACACATAAACTACACTAACACATAGTTTTATGGAGTCCATAGTGTTAATGTTGAAAACTCATTGCCCATGCCTTTAGGAATGCTCTCTTGACACAAGCAGTATGTTCTCTCTCTGGAAACAGACATTTCATACCAGTATTGCACTAAAAATTGTCGTGTATTACAGAATTCATCTGACAAGTTCATCAGTCACACACTATCACTCATCAAGTCCAACAGTCTTCTGCAAGCCCATATATATTTTTTGTATCCTGGAGTCTAAAATGCATAAAAGTTTTTTTTATGGACAATCTTCTCACCCTGCAGTTCAGCTTAAACCTTCTCCTGACTGGAATAACTTAGCCCTAATGTTTTAGGAACATTACAAACATCTGTCACATTAGAAATGAACTTACTCTGAAAACTTCTGGCTAAACAATGACTTAAATGAGATTGCATAACCACACACGAAACCCAGATAATCTTCATAACTCACGGAGTGCTTTGTGAGAAGAATGAAGACTAAGGCTGTTCCTTTCACTGAGGGAGTGTGGGGGGGACAGTTTCTAAATAGCCTACAAAAAATTCAGACCCTATGTTCAACGTCTCAGACTCCGTAAACCCTTGAGTGGTAGCTCAACTCAGGAAACTTGCCTCCTTCAGTAATGTGTCCAAACTCGCCGACACATCGAATGGATAAGCTACTGACATTAATTTCCTCATTCAAAAGAATCCCTTTCATCCAGATATACCAGAGTTTAACAATACTTAGTTTTCTGCTGTTTAAAGCAATTAGTGCAATGCATTTCGATTGAAACTTAGTACATTTTTCTTTACTATTGTTCAGAAAAATTTCTTCATCTTTTGATCTATAGTACGGGCCATAAAAAGAGTCTATCTGTTCTCCCACATTTAACTCAAAGTTATGTATTTTCACATTATAAATAAAGGCTCCATATTCTAGCATATGTTCTCAGTTTAAATTTGTTTAATAGTTTCCAGTTGAGAAGCAACTATTTTGAGTATGCTCTGCTAATGTTTCTGGTTGCAGTAAAGTCAGAAGCAGAAGCTATTACCTTCTATAGCTATGTGTCCCAGTCTTCTGATGAAAACTATCAAGGAAAGGATATTCAGCTGCTCCCAAAACAACTCTTAACAGCTGCAGACTCCCACAGGATGTTTATTTTAATATGCTCGGTTGAGAGTTCTAATAGCTATGGGGTTGATGTATGAAAAGATCAAACATTCCTGTCTATGGGGAACTGTAAAGTCCACATTAAACGTTGCCAAACTGGTTATTATAGAAATAAAATTAGAAAAATCAGAAACTGCAGATATTCTACACAGAAAACATTTCAGAATTTTAAGTTTTCTATACCTAAAACCTTCAAGGCAAGATGACAAAAAACCCCTGTACATTTATATAACGTTCTGCTTAGCAAATGCTTTTGAAAGAAAACCATGACATAATGATCGTTTACAATATAATAAAGATTCCTGCGTCCTAAAAAGGGTTCTTTACCTGCCGAAAAATCTCAGTTAGAAAATTAACATTGCTTCTTTTAGAAGAAAAGACTTTCCGGACAATTTCAATATCGGTTAAATGCTCTTCATCAATACTGCAAAGGCTGGAAGAACTTGGTTCTCTCTCTGTTAGAGTACTTGTATTAGAATGAGATTGTTCTGGCTCTGCATTTCTATCCTGCTTATCAGTACTGTCATTTTTGCTGTCTTCCCTTGAAGCCATGCTAGCAGCTGCTCTCTGGAAAAAAAAGAAAAAAGAATATTCCATAGGTCATGTTTAGTGCAACAATTGTAGAGTACACTTTGAACAAGTTAAGTTATAGAACAGTATAACTTAAAACAGTACAAAAAAAAAAAAAAAAAAAAAAAATAAAAAAAAAAAAAAAAAAAAAAAAAAAAAAAAAAACACCGAACCACAAAACCAAAAAAGGATTTAGTACATTTCAAAGCTTCTTACAGCTATGGATTAAAAACAAAACAGCAGAATTTGGAGGCAGGGGGAGGGAGGGAAAGCATAGTCAGTCTTTCTGAAGTGAATTCACAAGCAGAAAATTTGCTTAGAAATTCCTTTTTTTTAATTCTTCATTAGTTTTTTAATTCTTCATTATCAGGAGTGCACACTGCTGACATTATAATTAAGGTAAAAACATAAAACCAAACTTTTTTTATGTATTTGGTTCTACCTGAATATTCTTTGGCACATTTTCACCTTCCATCCCAGGAATATGAGGTCCTGTATGAGGTTTTGGCTCAAGCCAGAAAGACACCAGCCATCGAATGACAATAACACGAGCCTTAATAAAAGGTTCCTTTGTGCAATATACTGCCTCATTGGTTTCAGCATCTTTCTTAACCATTACGTAGTGTGGCTTTGGTCTCATTTGTGGTATATCTGTAAGGAAACACATCATCTTAAAAACAGCTGCAGAAAGAAAGCTCTATACAAGAAAGAAATCTTAAATCCATAACCAATACACGTGAACATTCAGAGATGCTGGTTTTTCCTATTCACTGCTGCACAACTCATTCCACTGTGTGCCAAAAATAGACACAAGAGAGAAAATTCGAAGACTAGACTATAAGACTTCAAAAGTAACTGTAACTGTCTCCTGGAAGGAGATAAGCAACATGTTTCTGCTATGTAAAACTTCTAATTTTTTATCCAAAAGTGATTTCTGTAGCCTTACATCCTTGCTTGCATTTTTTTTCTAAACAAGTAAACACATTTCTTTTCACTGTTTTCAGCTTTAAGCTATATGCTATACCAAAGATTTAAAGATCAAATTTATAAACTCACTACTTGCACTTAACTACAAAGGGGTTCTAAATTGCAAAATAACTGTTAAGTAGACTTGAATATGGCCTACACAAGAAAACTATTTTCATACAGAATTAAGATATTGTCAAATTTCTTAATTTTTAAGATGTGTTTATAGTTAAGTTACTAAGCAACAATGTATGTAAGTGGTACCATTTTACAGCCTTTTAAGAGTCCTGTATGTTACATCCCCTACTACCAAACCTTCTGGGAAAAGCAGATGCAGTTCAGAGGCAAGTAATCACCACGTTTCCTAATGCATCCCTAGAAAGATCTCTATAGTGGTCTGCAGCAATTCACAGTAAAGCAATATAATTACCACTAAGGGTCATCAGTTCTTTACTGACACAGATCCCAACATCTAATCACGGCTATAATGGGAAGGCTTTAATTCCAAACTGTATTCTAACAGTAAATACGATACATACAGTCTCTTCTGACCCTGAAATAGGTGAAAGATGCATAGAACAGCGAGATGTTCTGCTCCAAAGCCACGCAAGTTTGGCACATGCATCTTCCTATGACTTAGCTGAAAGATGATTCTGTGGTCGTAACTTCTATATACTGGCTTACACGGAATATAACGAATGATGGCCAGTGGTGCGCCAAATGGCAGACACTGTGGTTATTTGGGGTCTATAGCCTACAATTCCATTTTCTCATCAGGCATTCTACATGATAGCTCAGAACTGTTTAGTTCTGGTTCTCTATTGTGCTAGTGACAAAGATGCCAACAGTGTCATCAACATTCCTGAATCTGCTTCAGAAAAAGAGACAACTCAACAAGCTCGGTATTTACATGCACAGTAAATACATTACAAAGATGGAGCAGGGAGGGCAGGGGGAAGGGGCACACCTATGGACTGTTTCTTTAAATTGTGCATAATGCACATTTCTGCTTGGACAAATATCAACAGCCCAGTTCAACTCCAGCCATGTATCAGCCAACTCGATACTGCAAAACGTCATTTCTGCAGTAACAATCATCAGTCTGAAGTGCTTTCAGCTGCGAATGACATTTCTCTGGGAGTGACATGCCAAGTCTGTTCCTAGTTCTAGAAGGGCAAGTATGAGATCTGCTCTAGTACAAGAAATAAATGAAAATTTGTCTGAGAACCAACTATAACACATGCTGTCAGAACACACACTGCTGCTGGTGTTTCAGTATCATTACTTTCCTCTGGTGACAGCAACTTCCTCTCCCCCCAGAAAACAAATAAATAAACAAAACAACAAAAAACCCAAACAGGAGGAAAAAACAAACAAACAAACAGAAAACAGAAATAAGGCGGCATAGGAAATGATGGTCCTATCCAGATCTGAGTAACAGATAATCTAGATTCCATGGTTTTACAGGCCAGAAGGCAGTTTAAAGATACTAATGGTAGGAGTCAAAAAAGACGCAAAGTAGTCTTATTGAAGAACATAAAGTTGTTCTTTGACTGTATTTTACTAACGCAAGGTTGAGAGTTATTTAGTTGTTTTAAGGAATCCAGCATAACTTCTGCCACATTATGGTCTCATAATCCAGGAGGAACAAATCTGGATAGCAGCAAAGAAATATCCAGCTACTACCTAGGCAATTGACTTACAACAGCCATTTTCAGGCATTTGAAGTGAACATGGCCTACCTGCCACACTGCTGGAAAGTTTTCCTTGTTAACGTTACAAATACACCACACAAAATCCAGCACTAGCATCAAGGATATCCAAGCTGGTGTATCTCAGTGCCATTTCAACAGCCACATACAAAAGTAGTGATTCATCATGATGTTGTTAAACTGAGGAATGTTTCCAGAACAGACTTTAAAGTTACATCCACTATTTTTAATGGAAGCATTATTTTAAGAGGAAAAAAAAAAAAAAATCTATGCGACTCTTGCGTACAATCCACCTCAGGAATAAATGCACAGAATACTTTAAAAGCTTACAAAGAGTTTAATTACTACAAATAAAACCCAGTACATTGTTTTCATTCTGTGGAAAGCAGCAGGTTAGTAAGATAATTAATGTACCTTAAACAGAAGCATACATAACAGCACAATCAGTGTAAAAAGGAAGCAAATGTCTGCTAGTGCAGTATTTAAAGACACAAAACCCAGTTCCCTCTGGTATCTATTAGCATTCAGCAGAGCATGAAGCCTGCCATACTGCCACTATTTTCAAAAAGACAAGACATCCAGTAGACATGCAGTAAACGAGTCTTTGCAGCACACTGTCTCCTGTATTTTCACAATACCCTCTCAGAACATCCTCATTCTCTGTTCCCTCTCAACTACATTATTTGCTGCAGCCAATTCTCGAAGGTATCCTCCTTCAGTCATTTCTTGTATTTTCACATTTCTTTCCATCTTGGAAGTAGTTGTCCAGGTTTCAGATGAGGACGCTAACGTAAAACCAAAGCAAAAAAGCTTATTAGATGAACTCAAGTAGCACTAGAGGAAATACTTCCTTCCCCCAACTTTCCATTTTTCCTTTCTCTTTTGTTTTGGGTCTTTCTCCACCCCCACCCTCTCCCCTCTAGGAACTTAATGTAAGCCAGTGTCAAAAAGGGCAGGAAGCTGCAGGTGGGAGACATACACAAGGTAGAAAATGAAAAGGCTAGCAAAAAGTTATAACAGTGGACTCTGGTAGTTTTGACCACGCTTACTTTCTAAGGTAATAAAGGGTTCAGAAGGAATGAACAGCTGCAGAGAGCTGTAGGAGTGCTCACTTTGTTTCCCAGTAAAAGAAGGAGCCCATCTAAATGCCTCGGAAATGGCACAAAGGCACATTACTATGATGAAAGAAACAATGCCCTTGGACTCTTACTGTCAGATCTGTAGTTCTTACTGAACAGTTTCTAAAGTCTGTCTTACAGGATTCTAAACAGATGTTAAAAGACATTCAAAACAAAGAAAAAAAGCTCCAAACCAACCTCATGGGCTCTTCTAAGCCTGTAATATTCACGCCAGAATTTGGAGGAAGCACAACACTAGATTCTGATAATTGGAACAACTAGTCCTTCTTACTGTAACTAATATCTAAAAATCTGCCTTCACAGAAAGAAGGAGAAAAAAAAAAAAGAAAAAAGAAAAAATGAAACAGAAAATCTCAGTCCAATATACTATCTGCAGTAAAGCCCTGATTACTAAAACTACTGTTTTGATTTGTACCTCATGACTACCCCTAAATTAAACATTACACCAGTAGCACAAGAAGCTGTTTTTAGTAGCAGCCTCAGTTCCGAAATTTGCTCCGTTTTCTACCTAAATGCCGTCAATATTGTTCAGAACAGGCACAGAATTGTTAACAAGTAGGGTGGGAAGACGCATGCCAGAGAAGAGCTTCGTAGAGGAGAAAAGGCTATTCTACTTACCAGTGTTTCTGTTGTTTTCATTACTGTATTCTTCCCAAAATTTTTGTTGCTGACCTTGCACAGTTTTTGATAATAGTTTTGAAGATCTGTGCCCATTTCTTCTTTCTGCTTCCCATTGTCCTGTACTTTACTAAGGCCTTGAAAGCTTCTTGTTTACAATTCACAGAAAAGAGAGACGAGTACATGGACTATGGAAGACTCAATCAAGATCTTCATAGGAAGAGAAAATATCATTTCCACATTTCTTGTTCAAGGATGTCAAGCAGCAGTAGGTTTGCTTTCTCAGCATCTCAGCATTGTTTACCATCCCTCTTGTACCTATTTTATCACTGAACCTCTGCAGCATCCTCACACAACTCTTGTTCTGCTGTTGTTTATGGCTGGATTTATACTATTTCTTCTCCCCTAGATGAGATGGTCCACTGCTTGTCTTTCCCAGGAGAACATGGTTTTGAAACATCCATCTCTGAAGAAAGCCACATCCAAATCCATGCACATGGCCTGGCAGAATCTAAGACCTTTTCAGCAAACTTCCCTGGCAGCTTGATTTTAGAATATGAAACCGTGTCTGGAGATCACTACTAACGCTTTTGAGATGCCACATAAACAGGTAAGAGGCACAGTGAGGTGTCTGTATTATTCGACTAATGAAACGGCAGTTTAAAGGCTGTGTACGTGGTACTGCTCTGCAAACAAGAGTCTTGGACTCTGCTGTCTTACAACCAACATGTGCATGGGTACTTGCAAACCTGAGGTACTAAAATCAAGACTGTCAAACAATTTTCTAGTTTAGAATGAGCTAAAAATCTATGAGCAAAGCTCTAGTTAGGTTTTCTTAGAAAACACCTAAAATTCTGCTCTCTGTATGGAAAGATATATTCTAGCACCATCAGCTTTAAAGATTTTGTTAAACCCTAACTTCCTCTTCCTACTGACTTCCTTTCCTCTTCACAAAATACAGTTGACACAAAAAACGTAACTAACTTTGCCCTTGCCAAACTACGAACAAGCACCATATGATTCAAACTATGATTCTGTACAGATAAAGCCAACAGCTCCCAAAGAATGGCACACTAACACCTTTCACCTCAGCAGCAGTAGTTCCGCCTCAGAGCACAACTTAAATTGACAATGGAGGTCACGATAAAGAACTGTTTTCCAAGAACATTAACTTTACCTGAATCAGGTTAATATAGCTAGATTGACTCTAAACAAAGGGTCAGGTGCCTCCGCAGACAGAGAATTGAAAAACCATGAAGAGGAACCATAACATTTTCTTTCATAATAAATACTTTCGGAGAACGTTCTTTGTGGGCAAAACAACCAAATCAAAAAAATGTTTTGCTATATGCTCTACTAGAGAAAACGTAATGATTTTATCAGCTGTGTTAACACTTACCAAGTATAGGGTTATACAAGCTGGTCTCCTTACAGATGTTTGGGAAAATAGAAGGTAAGTAGTATTTCTTAAAATTTGAGAATAAAAATGAAAATCCCTTTTCCTGGTTTTCTTTGTTCTTCCATTCTAAACTCTTAACCTTTTAAAAAAAAAAAAAAAAAAAAAAAAGAAGTTGGAGAAAGTAAACATCTAGAAGTAGAAGAGAAAGATGACTTACGAAATATCTTAAATTATTTCTTTGGACCAAATAATGCATTTTAATAAACACTTTTAGAAAGATGGAACAGAAACTAGCTATGAAATGTCAATGAAACAAAGACAGTTCTCTTCCAAAATGTTGCTTCAAAAGAACTTGAACGCACCAAATACCAAAATCAATAGAAATACATTTGCTTTTATGGCCGTCTTGCCAAGCCAGGGAGTACACCCAAATTGACTGTTTTAATAAAACTGGGTTTATATTTCAAAATGTTTTATAAGAAAAGGACAATTACCCATGCTAGGCTGAACATTAGTTTGACAATTTAACATATTTCAACTGGAAAGCGTCCATATATTCATTATCATAGGTACTTAGATTTATTTGTGCAGTTGGCAATATGAAACAAACAAATCTGTCAATGACAAGTGGCAGAAGATGCAACTGCGAGGTTGCACAGATCTGAGAGCTAAGCCTTCCCTATTATGAAATGTTTTCCTGCTGAAAAGCATGGCAAGTTCTCCTTAATAATAACCCCAACATGCAGTTTCCATCTTTGTCCTGGAAAATCCTGCAGAGATGGGTATTCTGCCGAGTCTACCATAAATAAAATGAACCGTTGCTTTCTCTCCACCCCCTTCTTTTTTTTTTTCTTTGGTTTACTTATTCTTGGTTTATTTGATTCTTTAGAATGGAGTATACATACACACACACATATATACGTATAGATTTCCCTACTATAATTCAACAGAACGGGTGATTAATACATAGAAATTAGTGACACGAAGTCCTTTAGCTGAACGCAATATCAAAGTAGTAACTATTCAGCTTGAGATTACCAATGCCTCTAAAGAGACTTCAGCAAAAATCTTTGCATTCACACAGCGACCAAGTTCTATCACAACTGACTTAATGATTTATCTAAATGTAAATACAATACTACCAATATATTACGGAGAGGGCAGTTGTCTTCAAGAATGTAAGGAGTATTTTTATTTTAAGTGAATGGTCATCATTAAGCTTACCCTACAGATCACAAGTATGTTGGCCTCTGTTCAAACTGGGAGATGCTGGAAGCAACAAAATGAGGCTGCAAATTATTCCAGCTCTGCAAATTCACAGAGTAAGACAGATAAAGGGAAGACACTAAATGGTTGAGGTTGGAAGGGACCACTGGAAATCATCAAATCCAACCTCCCTGCTCAAGAACGTCACCTAGAGGACATTGCTCAGGATCTGTCCATCTTCTCCAGCACAACCTGCAAAAGTGTGAATTAAAACTTACAGGTAGATACCCAAGTAGGTTCTGCTGGATGTCTGACCCAGAAGGCAGTACCCTGGAACACCTACAGCACATCATGCAGACAAGCAGTTTGCTTGGGCATAGGACAGCAGAGCAGGCTCAGAAGCAGCATGTGCTAATTGTCCAGACTATCAATTTCATAAAATGTAATAGCTAGGTCACAGTTTTTGATAGGAGCTCTTGCAATGCCCTGTCCATTTCAAGTACTGGATAAGATCATGGAAGTGTCAAAGTATGAAGGGAAGGACATAGTGGGCACCTGAGTTCCACGCTGTGGACTAGATACTCATTCAAGTCTTCATTTTCTGTGCACAGTTCAGCTCCACCATCTATCTGCCTTTTAGGTAGCTAGTGATATGCAAGATCATATTACCTGGTGTTCACATAGCAATGTCACCAACTGTAATCTTAGCAGTGCAGCTGCTTTTAAGCAGAACCTAACTCATAAGCTTTGTCAGACCTGAAGTGTTCCAAACATGTACTGAATACTACATCCAATTGTTTCTCTTTTGAAAAGGTTCACTTTCTCAGCTGTAGCAGTAATCCCACATTTTTCTCTAAAAGTCTCCTAAAACTATAGTCCCAGAGAGCACAGTTAAGACATGAAATGAAGTCCTGGCACCACCCCTACGAGATCTGGATAGCGTCTTGCTGATCAGAGAAAAGAAAACAACCAAAAAACCCAAACAAACAAACAAGATCTTGCTAGAAAGTCATAATCTTTATGTTATGCTCTAAACACCCTGGAGCATTCCTACTAACCAGGACCATCCAGTAGCTCAGTGTTTCCATCAAAGAAAGGAAAGGCTGTATGTATGTTATCTACTCTAACAGCAGAAATTCCAGAAAGACAGCTGAAGGAAAAATATGCCCCTAAGCACAGACACTGGTAGTCCCAGTCTTACAGACCATTGAGCCTGACATTCTATTTTTGACTGGTTTTGCCAGATGGCTCAAGTGTAAACCTACGCAAAAGGCCAGCAAAAGTTTGGAACTCATTAAATGCCTGTATCACAAAAATCCAATGCTTTCAGTTAGAAATTTCCTCTTAGTTTGAAAAGCAAAGTCTCTGACCACCACAACATCCATTTGAGTGAGCACAGTTGATACCTCCACTGTTGAAGGCAACAAGGGCAGGGAGATGAAAATGGAAAAGGAGCTGGAAGCAGCATTGCTAGAAGTGACTGACAATTCTTTTCTCTCCATGCTGCAACTTGATGCAAGACCATGTGGTAAACAAACCTATGAGCCTTCACGCGGAAGATATGTGAAAATACTCTAGGATTTACTTTTTACAACGGACACTTGAAGGAGAAGCGAGCAAGAGGAACATTTGTAACATTTTCATACAGATTTGCAGTGCTACTAATAAACATTGTCTTGTAATAGACAAACAGATGTTAGTTTCATATTCCTTTACTTGAAAACTATAGAACATACCTGAATTACTATGTATTTCAAAAGTGCTTCTAAGAAATAGCTTGTTAAATCTTCTTGTCCTTTATCTCCTGATTGTGGAGGAACAAGTGGAGTGATTTCCTCTATAGTCACTTGAGCTATTTAAGAAAATAATTAAAAAAAAAAAAAAGTACATCTAACATTTAGACCATTTTTGCTCATGCATAAGTATCTACCAAGTTATGAAAGCAGAAATACACTGGGGTAAGTAGAGACAGTCACAGGCAAAACAACCTGGCCATAGATTATTGAAAATCAGAAAAATTTAGCTAATAAACCACCACAGAAGTGATTTTTACATATATAAGACCACAGCAGATAACTAATTTCTCCCTATATACCTTGGGAACCTACCTGCCAAGACCCATTTTTTCCAGAAGGCATAATCCACTTCTTTCAGAATTTATGCAAACAATAGCTTAACATTTGTGTTTCATGAATGCTAAACCTTTATTTGCATTTCTCACGATTTTCTTCATTTAGCAGTTGATCACTTACATTTGTGTTGTTTTACTAGCTCTATCCTTCCTTTGCCTCTACAGTGAAGCTACTTCGAAGTTTACTCTTCTCTTGCTCCTGTAGTTAGATGTTTGCATTTCAGTCTTTGCACTCTGTATTTCTACGCTGCCTACAACTCCTTTAATTTGTTCCTCCTTTCCCTCAGTAGATATATACGCGACATAACTCCAGAACACGGCTTAAATTATGTAGCAAACTTATCTGCTGAGCTATTGTGCCACGGAATTCATCTGCTAGGTTTCAGTAAATGTAATTATCGGTCCAGGAGACACTGCTTGCTTCTACAAGCAATGCTTGTGCCAGCTCTAAAACATTGGGTGGAGAGGGGAAAAAAAAAAAAAAAAAAAAAAAAGTAACAGCACTTAATGTTCAGAGGAAAAAGGGGTTAGCTTCTTAGTCACATTTATGTGAATGGACAGTTTGCACTTAGGACCCCATCCATAATGAAATTCATTAATAAATGAGTTTAAAATCCTACTAGCAGGAGTAAATGGAGTTCAGAAGCTAAAAACTCCCCAAAGTAACCAGTATCTGATACTTACTCCTAGGGTGAATAGTCAAAGGGAAAACTGTCATAAGAATGATCTTAATAGAAAAATTATCCTCACTGTATTGATTAGTCAAGGTAATGACCTTCACATTAAAAAAAATTAAGATCTAGAAAGCATAAAAAGCTTATCTCAGAATGTTCAAGCCTTTCCACTAACGCAGACCTCTACGACCTCAGGTTTTGAGATTTACAAGGTCTAATTCTTTTCGAAGATTCGAAGCCACCACAAGAATATCACAGTTTAATTGCCTAGTCATACACAGACACAGCAGGAAGATCAACCGTTTGGTTTTACTCACAGACTTAACAACCTCTTGAAGGACATACCAGAAACTGCTTTGCAAAGCTTGCTCCCTACAGCATAGCCAAAGCCAGTGCACCAGTGTTCAACACAAGTGGAACCTGCCTGTGCAAATTTGCAGTAGATGCAGCCTCTGCTTGTGACCCGTAGGAAAAATTACATAAAATTTATCATTAACCAATTTAAAAACATGCAATGTGTTAAGCTACTATACCATACCTTAAACAACCAAAAAAAAACCAAACCCCAACCCACCTTGAAAACAACAAACAACAAAAAAAACCCAAAAAAAATAGTTACTCTTGGAAGAAGACCTGATAAACTACCAAGAAACTCATTAACAGCTCCACAATCTCTCTGGGTGCATGCATACATTATTTCTTTGTTACTTCAACTTGGCTTTTCTGTGCCAAGATTTACATAGAGAATTGAGAAATATAACCAAATTACTCACTTTCTTGAACATTAAGTGGGGGGTTAATAAGATTGTCTAGTGTTCGGGGACCATATTCAGACTGTGGTGATGAAAATCCAGGAATCAAGCAAGAAAACATCCATAATTGTTCTTTACTACAGTTATTCTGAAGTGCTTGCAGCCACAAAAGAAAGAGACGCACACCCTCTCGACGTATCTTGGGAGTAAAAAAAAAAAAAAAAGAAAAAAAAAAAAAAAGAAAAGGAACAAGTTACCTTGTCTCAGAACATACAAAAGCATTTCCAGGAAAAGGAAAGAGGAAGAAACCCAACACAAGCCTATAGTCACTTGCTTGACTACAGCACTGCAAGATGGTATGTGAATTTTCCAGAAAATACAAGGACTGTCATAAAACTTCTAAAGGTGTTTGTTAATTAATAACAATAAAGTGAAGTTTTTGCAGCAGAAGGATCCATTCCAGCCTCTTCCATCCCTTCTTCAAGATGATGGAGTCCTAGAGCAGTCCCCTCCTAGCTCTCACACTGGAGAACTTCAGCACCAGCCAAGCCTGCTTGTTTACAGGGGAGTGGCATAGTTGTTTGCTGCAGTACCAAAACTATATGTTACACTTGGGTGACTTTTGTCTCATGGTCAACTGTTATCACACTACCCACCAACAGGTCTCTTTGGCATAGATAATCTTCCATTTCCAAGACAGCCTGAGCCCCAAGACCAGTTTCCCTGCCCCAACAATGAATGGCTAAGGCTTACTTCCGTTTAATGCAAAACCCTTCAAACCATTTGCACGCATTCCTAACTTGGCTACTCTACATAAACACATTACTACTGTGAGTAGTCCTACCAAGGTAAAGCTGATGATCCGAAGTCATTCTTTCAGGACACACAAGTCCTGATCTGGTTCTCATTCCTGTGCTTTTAACATAAAAATTCACCCTTATGTTCTTATTTTTAAGTATTTTAGGCAAAAATAGTATGCAACTTTTTCCAATACCTTTAATGAATTTCCAGTGTGAAGAAGCTTCTTTAAAATCAACCCTAAAAAGAAGGAAAAAAATTAATACATGTATTTGTTTGTTTATTTTTTCTTTATTACTATGTCAGAGTTCTCGGTCAGACTTGATAGTAACTTTTAAACAAGTCCTTGGCAATCTCCAATTTAATCTTGGTGAACTTGATATCCTCAGGCAACTCTCTCAATGCCAGAAGGAAAAAAAAAAGATCCCCTTCCATAGCTGCCTCATAACCATAACATCTTTCTGTAAGAACTTTTGGGGACGTGCACATGAAAAGTAAATGATCCTCAAGTCATTAATGTGCATATCATCCCCACTTACAAACACAGACCTCATGCCAATTTTGAAATTTATTACTAGGAGAAGAAAAAAGGTTTTTTTTGTTTGTTTGGGTTTTTCCCCCCCTTCTCCTAGCTCTCAAGAGTTAAGGCCATAAGCCCTGTTCTATCACTTAAAAGGTTAAGGACATGAGTAGCACTAACTACTAATAAAAAAAAATAATAAATGTTTTTTTAAAGAGAGGGGAAGAGAGAAAGAGAGAGGAAAAAAATAAAAATCAACTTACCAATACTATGGAATTGCCATCTCTGATGAATCCTTTCTGGAAGGAGTTGCAAAATTTTCTACAAAACAGAACCAAAGGATCTATGTTGCAGATGTCACTCTTGGACCAAAGAGCACTCTCACAAAGGCCACAGATCAGAAGCTGTGGTTAACTTAGAAAATTTCCACAGTTCTTTCCTAGAAAGCATTACTGCCCTTTCAAGGTAACCCATTCCTAAAGCTAAGAAGTCCAAAGGCTCTGACAGACTGCCTGGCAAGTCCTGCATTGGAGACTAGAATCATAGAATAGTTAGGGTTGGAAAGGACCTTAAGATCATCTAGTTCCAACCCCCCTGCCATGAGCAGGGACACCACACACTAAACTATGTCGCCCAAGGCTCTGCCCAATCTGGCCTTGAACACCTCCAGGGTTGGAGCATTCACAACTTCATTGGGCAACCCATTCCAGTGCCTCACCACCCTCACTGTGAAGAACTTCTTCCTTAGATCTAATCTAAACTTCCCCTGTTCCAGTTTAAAGCCATTACTCCTTGTCCTACCACTACAGTCCCTAATGAAGAGTCCCTCCCCTTCTGATGTTACTGCAGTTTTATCTGGCCCCACTGCCCTTCTGATGGATACTGCTGCTTGTAGCAAAGGGAATGGAACGGGATGAGTATCTGTCTCAGCTGCTCTGGTTCACAACAGGTCATATTAGGTTATCCCGTCTTTATAGAGGCTTAAGCTAGCATGCTCAGCTGTCAACTTGCTTCTAGCACAAGCAAACATTTGCTTCAGCCTTTTCAACAGAGGGGTAATGAGCTACAACAAAACAATGAAGACAAGACATAGGGCAATAAGGATCTAACTAACACCTCTCCAGTTAGACTTGAGGATGATCATCTTCAGATGGTAAGAAACTGCTGCTCTGTCAGTGACAAAAGCAGTTAAAAATCTATTATGCAGCACTTCAATGTTTATGATAGATGAATTGGCACGTTGCAAATAACCTGATTTCCCAAAATGAATTCCTGACTGTGGTCCTCCAACAACCTGTGCAATTGCTTCCAAAGCACGGACCACCTAATTTCCCTTTAGGTAGGAACTAGTGAACAAATTAACTAGTTCTCTTCAGATTCACTCTCCTTGTAACAGCTAACCCTACAGTTTTAAGCACCA